CGTCTATCATTCTTCCGTTCTCAATTACACAGGACATCAGGCAAGTTATGGGGATAATCTTTATTTGTCTCACACCTTCTGTGCGGCAATAAACAATGCAGGTGGAAGTGAGGCACGATAAGCTTGGTGTCTGCCTGATTGTAAACAACCGGGTGGCTGGCACTTAGTTCTGGGTTCTTATTGACAAAACCACTCAACTCTTGGTGGCTCTTAATGGAGGGTCAAATGTAACAAATTTTCACTGAGTGGCTCTTAATTGAGGGTGGCGCTTATTTGCGGGTTTTTACGGTAATCATCACATATCAATGAATGTTTATACATGGATGCTGTAGGACAATAGACAGACCTGGATAATTGTGGGTTAAAATCTGTACATATTAATTACCCAATTTGCATAATTAACCAATTTTAAGCTTTCACACTGATATCTAAAGTACTAATTTCCATTTTAATGAAACTTAGTACAAAGATGCTCTAGGACAATGTACAAACCTAATTAGTTTGGGGTAAAACTCTGTTCATATTATTTCCCCAATTAGCATAATAATTCATAATTTTCAAATTATATTTAATGTGTCTCCAATACTCTCAGCACATGGGAGTTCTTTCTAAGCTTTCTTTGATTTAGTTATACTATAACCAACACCAATTATTGTGTTGATTGTAATTACTGGTGTGTGATATGTACATATCCAGAACTGTATGAACTGACAGAAAACTGTGTGATATGACCACAGATGTTGCCATTCATGAAATTATATAGACTGAGCTGAATTCTACTTCTGTTACTGAAGTTATGGCATTTTTATTATCCAAAACGATACCTTGTTCATGAAAATATCTGTTATACTTCCTATCAGTGAACATGACCTTTGTTCGGGGAGTACTTGATGGCCAATTTTGCTATTCTGCTTTTGTGATTATTCTGACTTTTGAAAACACCATTTTTTACTCAAATGTGCAAAGGACACAATGGAAGTCATACATAGACCAGATTACTGGTGTTTTTAAAGTGTTTTTGAGCTAAAAGTTTGATCACTTTAGCCTTTTCTAAATCCTGTTTGATTATTATTTATTATGTTATTGTTTTCTGTGAATCGATATAACCTAATATATTATTTACTTTGTTACATAGCACCTTACCAATATAACTTGATACTGCAACTCCACCATAATTTCTCGGCTCATCTTTGTCTCATTTTTGTAATCATCGTTATTTGGAAAATGTTTATGTTCAAACTGGGGCATTTTGAAGGGATGGGCACTTCAATGGGACCAGTGGAAATGCCTCAGATATCTCAAGTGGGTGTAGGTGCTTAGTCAAGCCTGGGCCTTAAGTACATAGTATGTGTACTTGCATTTATTTTATCAATGTAATGGTTTTGTAACTAAACTTTCACCTATATCTTGAAAAATATATGCTAGTCACACCAAAATTTATCCTGGTTGAAGTTTAAGTTGCTGAAGTTTGAAGATAATCAGATAAGAATTATTTTCAGATATTGACATAATGATGCAAAAATTGAGCTTGGTCAAGATTCAAAACTGGTTGATAATATGTTAGGTTTAAAGAATAGTTAAAAAAATGTTTGCTGACACTGTGTCACTGATATATTAGTAATGTCATTGTTGTTTCCATACTAACCCAGTAAAGATGTTAATTTTATGAATAAGGTAAGATTTATCTATCTGTTTGTCTGCTTTGTTTGTCAAGGTCCAACATGTGAATTTGTCATTGAGTAGCAAGAAACCATTCAAGAAAGGATTTGGATTGTTTGGATTCAATAGAAAAAACAGTAAAGATGATATTCCCCAGCCACCTTATATGCCACCTGCTGGTGAGTTAATGTTTCAAGAGATGTCAGCAATATGTCAGACTTCAAGAGATGTCAGCATTATGTCAGACTTGAGCTGTAAGACATGTCATATGTCAGCATTATGTCAGACTTGAGCTGTAAGACATGTCATATGTCAGACTTGAGCTGTAAGACATGTCATATATCAGCATTATGTCAGACTTAAGCTGTAAGACATGTCATACGACAGTATTAGGTCAGACTTGAGCTGTAAGACATGTCATATGTCAGCATTATGTCAGACTTAAGCTGTAAGACATGTCATACGACAGTATTAGGTCAGATTTGAGCTGTAAGACATGTCATATGTCAGCATTATGTCAGACTTGAGCTGTAAGACATGTCATACATCAGCATTATGTCAGACTTCAGCTGTAAGACATGTCATACGTCAGCATTATGTCAGACTTCAGCTGTAAGACATGTCATATGTCAGCATTATGTCAGACTTATAAGGTTATGTCAGATTTGACAGGTCAGCATTGATATGTCTGAAAAGTTATCAGAAATGTCCATACCTTATTATAACATTACTGTGTGCTGATATGCATGACAAAGATGTACCCATGGTCACAAAAATCCAGCATACAGTTACATGCAATTTTATTTTTTGCACTTGGAAATGTGTTTCTAATATCTAGCCAATATATCAATTATCTTGTATACATGTTTTGCTTGCAGGAAAAGCTCCCTGGATTGAAATAGAAACATCCATGTTTGCTGAGCATATGTATAAGTTATTGGAGAACCCGATCTATTCAGATGTGACATTTATTGTGGAAGACGAACGACAGTTCCAAGCTCATAAGTGTATACTTTGTGGAGCATCATCCTATTTCCGCCAAGTTTTTGGAATACTACCTGAAAAATTGGTAATTTGCAATGATGGAAAGCAACATAATTGAATTTAATTTTTTACTAAGATGATAAATGTTTAAGTTAGGATGCTAAATAAAAGTAAAAATGTCATGTCTTCACGATAGAATGATTTAATACTAATTCTGATTGAAATTAACAATTACATTGTATCATAATATTTCCATTAATGTTATATCGTGTTTTCAAATTATTGAATATATATCATCATGAAGTTAACTTTTTGCTTTGAAGGTCTTACTTCTATACATTCAAACATTCCAACTAACTGCTAGAATTCTAAACATACTTGAATCACTTCAGAATTATTCTTTTCTTGCAGAACAATCAATTGAAAGTTGAGAAACCGTACAGTCGTGTTGACCTGAATGATGGCAAAGTGTTAGGAATATCTTCTATTATAGACCAAATAGAGGGAGATGTTAGTAAATCTATTGTATCTATCAGTGGAAATATTTCTATCAAAATATTCAAACATGTATTGGAGTTTCTGTATGCAGGTGAGTCATTGAGTGTATACAGGTGAGCCATTGTGTGCATGCATGCGAGTCATTTAGTGTGTGCATTTGAGTCATTTTGGTGCGTTCGGATGAGTCATTGAGTGTGCACGGGTGTGTCATTAGTGTATGCATGTGAGTCATTGTGTGTATGCAGGTCAGTCATTGAGTGTGTGGGTGAGTCATTGAGTATATGCAGGTGAGCCATTAGTATGTGAAGGTGAGTCATTGAGTACACGCAGGTGAGTCATTGAGTGTGTGTGCAAGTCATTAGTACATGTTGGTGAGTCATTGGGTATGTTCAGGTATGTCATTGAGTGTATGCAGGTGAGTCATTATCATATGCATGTGAGTCATTGAGTGTATACAGGTGAGTCATTGTGTGCATGCATGTGAGTCATTGAGTGTATACAGGTGAGTCATCGTGTGCATGCATGTGAGTCATTTAGTGTGTGCATTTGAGTAATTTTAGTGTGTTCAGATGAATTGAGTGTGCACGTGTGTGTCATTAGTGTATGCAAGTGAGTCATTGTGTGTATGTAGGTGAGTCATTGTGTGTATGCAGTAGAGTTGTTTTAGTGTACGCAGGTGAGTCATTGAGTATATGCAGGTGAGCCATTAGTGTGTGGAGGTGAG